TGTAGGATGCTTAAATTAATTGCTATTAGCATGTTAAAACTTTTTACAGCATTATCATAAATCTTCTTCAAGCATTTCTACATAATTATGTTGATGATCCAACACAATTATTTTCAAATGTGTATGATAAATTTTTAGATACTTCAGCAAAATCGTTCTTTCCATGTATTGTTGCATTAGAGACTTTCTAATCAGTCAAGACATAAAACAGTTATTTTTGATTAACCAATTTTATTTTAACAACTCCTAAGAGAGAGAGAGAGAGAGAAAGAGATAAGAAAAAAATATACAGGACAGAAAGAAAAAGAAATAGTAAATATATGTCCTCTCTCGCGGGTGGTTTTTGATAAAACTAGAGATCTTGCATACAAAACGCAACTCGTATTCAAGTCCTAATTAGAGGATCTCTATATATTATACAGAACATTGCCATGGCTGTTGTATTTATGCGGCTCTTGAATTTAAATTGATATGAAAGAGCATCAACTACATATTCTTCATAAATAAATGGCCTCCTTATTTTCTGTCTAACCACTCCTTTTCCACGTTTATATAGCTATCGGTGGTGCGGGCTTGAAAAATGTGCACTACGAGTCTGGCTGCGGCGAGTCTTGGGTATTGTCACGAGACGGTCGCTCGACATTAATTAAATTTTTCCTCGTGCAGAGAATCACGGTCAAGCACAGTGAGCTTAACCGCGTTACTCTTATTTCGTAGCACATAGTGGGTATATCCACTGGGTGGGTTCTCTTGTACTACATAGAGACTCGGTTACATGGGGCGGTTAACAGCCCTGGTGTATCATAGATACGCGCGCGCGCACGGGCGTGGACTAAATGGATCGCAGTATCAAAGCGTTTGCTGCTTGGCCGAAATATTGCATCGGGGCTGCCGCTATCGATTACTGATTGAAAGTATTTTGGCTCGGTTGAGTATAGCGACAGGATTGATGATGCGCGAATCTGGGACATTCTAACCGAGTTCGGTAGCGAGCACTTCAAGACGACTGGTTGATAAGCACTTATAAGGACACGAAGTGTCTCGTAATGCAATCAATCGAACGCACGAAATGTGCGATAAGTGTATCAATTCTAAGAGGTGTTTGAGAGATAACATTCTCCGTGGAAAATTTATATGTGCATTTCTCTTCATGTGTGTGTGAAAATCTTAATCAAGCAATAAGTTTTATCATTTTTTGATTAATTTGTGGTCTAGACTTAACTTCACTTAGATTCGTTTTTATAATACATGGTTACCTAAAGGTCATCAAGAAATTCATAATGAAATTCAGTCATGAACTTCTTGGTAATCTTTAATCTAACTTATTAAAACCACTTATTAAAATGAGCCTAATAATATGTAAAAATTGTGTTTTTGTTTTTAATTATTAATCACTGATGGTTTTATAGTAACTTTGAAAATTATTCTATTACGAAACCATTAGTTTTTTTTTATTAACCTAAGCTAGAGTAACTAGCTAGTAGTAGCTAGAAAAACACAACTTTTACGTTGTTATCAGGTCTAATCATAAGTTAACCAGGAAATGAAAAATCGAGCCTCAGTGTCTTATCATTGTAGATATCTTGTTAACTACTTCTTCTTTATCTCTATTAAAGTTTATTAAGTTTATCCAAATAATTAACTAAGAAATAATACTGTGTTACTTATCTATATTCCTGAAGGGCGATTCGCTCGTTTCTTTTATCACTTTGAAAAAGTGTTCGTGGCACAATAAAGTACCTTTATAAAGAAGGATTGTTATGATTTGTGACAAGAAGTATCGTCACGTACACAAACCACACCTATCGTCGGCAAACACCCTGTAATTTATGATGCGTCAAACTCGAGGACTATTGACACGAAATAGTAGCGCGATACATGAAACTAAGAGACAAGTGTGATAAATCACCAGATTCTCTGCCGGCTATTGCCGTCGTATTACGCGTCGGCGTCTGGTTTATTGTTATAACACGCCAGTGTTATTCTGCAGCAAAGAGAGAAACTCACACGAGCGTATCATTTATACAATACGCACAGAACTAAGGCGTTGAAAGATTTCTATCTGCAAGTTGAGCAAAGTTGTTGAATGGAACGCGTAGAACAATTCTTGCAGTTTCATTAACATACTACAAAATCGATATTTTCCTGTGATCTGCTTCGTTTCGTTAACAACATTGTAAGAAGTTTGTTAATATCGAACATTCAACGTCCATAATTTTTATTACATAAAAATATTGTATAAATGTTATTATATTCATGAAGTAGGTCAACAAAAATTTTGTATAATTTAATATTTGTTTGACTAATAAGATTTAATTTATATATAAAAAGTTTATTTACATATAAAGAAGGCCATATCCCTTTTATATAATAAAAATTTTATAAGGTTCTAAAGACGCTCATTAACATCAATAATGTTAAATTGCTTGTCAATTTAACTTGTGATATGTACTCTCATCTTCCATTTAGAATTGCATTTCAAGATCGACAAATAATCGACAAATAATCCAGTTTGTTTGAATTGGAAATTGTAAAATTTATACAAAAATAGGCAGCAAGATCAGATATGGATTTCTTCACTTATTTGTGTTGAATATTTTATGGTCGATTTTAATTTAATGTTATTTACTTAATCATTCATTTTTCGTTTATGTTGAATACTTGAAAATTAATATTTTTTTTTTGTTTAAACCAACTTCAGTACAATCAAATATATTCTTTGAGCTTTTGATATTTTAATACTTCGTGTTATCTCTATTTTCTGTTTACGTCAGCTTGGCGTTTCTCAGTGCCGCATTTATCTCTAGCAACTAACAATTCATTTGCCTTTATTCAACATGAACAGAAATTACTGTAGTTGCACCAGAAATGACGCGGTTGCTTTTGAATTTGAGAATTGTACAGGGTTGAAACGGACGAGGGAGAAAAAGGTCGTGAGAAGGGTAGAGTGTCCTCTCCATAGCGACGTTGTAATTACGCGAGTACTTTAATGTCCTTGGTCACGCAAATGTCGAGGATTGTCGATCTCTTTCTTTTTTCTTTTTTTTTTTTTCATGGAAATGTAGCGAACAAAATTCTCAAATTCGCGTCGCTCTGCAAAGAATACGCGAATTATGCAAAATTTTTATACGCGTGATGTACGGTTTACATTTTTATCTCTACCATGCGATCTGCGTTTTCTCATGCCTCTGTCGCTTTTCGATTCTTTGTCGTAGCTTTTCGCAATGTAGTATTGAAGGTAAAGGATTCATCGAATCTATGTGCTTTTCCGATTCTCGCTTTTGTGCTCGATGAACACCGTGATTGGTCTTACAATTCACCCCGATAGGATCGTCTAGCTAGCAATTAATGCGCCCGGGAGCCTTTCAGGGGTGACAACGTGCCTCGTGAGGGATGCGGCGGGGAGGGGGGGGAGAAGGTCTACCGTTTTCATCTCGTGCAGGAGGCGTAGCTCTCTCGTACGGAAAGAGAGCAATAGATCGACGCGGACGTCGGCGTCGCGATGCGAGAAAGACCGCGAACGTACAAGGAAGAGGAGGGAGAAAGGCAGAAAGGGCTGAGGAAAGAGAAAGAAGGAAAGAGAAGAAGCTAGATGAGAGGATTCGTGGGGACAAAGGGACGTCGTCGTGACGGCGCAGACTCGGCGAACGCCGGGCGTCCCGACGCCTTCTCGCGTCCCTTTTATATCTCGTCTCCGCCAGTACATCTCTAACGATTCACGTCGCACTTTCCCCATTCACGCGCACCGCGAAAAAACGACGCCGACGACGCGGCGTCTTCACCCCCTTTGCCCTTCATCCCCTCCTCTCCCTCCCCCTCGCCTCTAATTTTTTCTTCCATTTCTCCGAAGGCGAAATTTGTACTTTGACTCTGGTCGTCCGATTGTCTCGTGAGCGCGCGAATGTTCATACGCGTCTATATATACGGTTGCACACGCGACACGCGCGTGCCCACCATCATACCCCCCCGTATACGTGTGTGACATAACGAGTGCAACGACTGTGCGTCATAGTCCCTTCCACAGCACGATAGACTTCGATCTCGCGATCGAAAGTTGCCCCGACGCTTCCGAGCGATAGTGCCTCTCGTCACAGGTAGATATATTCACGAGAGTTTATAATGTAATATTAATAATCTTCCGTTCTCTCACGATTATTTACGAGCCTCCCTTAATCTCTGATATTTTCGCCATTCATTATTGTCCCTCATCGAGCGATTTATTTACGCTTGATTTTCCGCGAGCTGCATGCTGATGTTAATCGCGCGTTAGCGATACGCATATCTGGGAAAATAAATAGCCATTCAGGCTGTGAGCGCACCCTCGTCGCCCACGCAACGCACGCAATGCACGCAACGCACGCATGCACGCACCACGGGAGTGCGCCGTGCGGCTAGAGAGCCTAGAGATGCAGATGCGGATTTGCACGGTAACGTTCCAGAGCGGTTTGTGAATGGTGGTGCGACCTTGCGGTTGGAATGTAAAGTACTAAACCGACGGAGGCTCGTGCAACTACGGATAAAATCGACGTATACGCGAACCGACTCCGCCACGTGCACTGTGTTGCAATTATGCGGCGTGCATGTAACACGGTGACCTTATTTCGCAAATGACAATCTTGCACATTTTTCACGTTATATCGCCTTTCCCGTAGAGATTGTTGGCGACGAACGAAGGTTTATTCGCGTCATTTCCCTTCGTGGCTCCGAGATATGCCAGCTTGTTAAAGTAAACATCCCAGCGTTCCCAGCAATCTCGGAAAGCGATCGGACATGTACCTATGTCCGGATGTTTTATATAAAACTTTATTTGCTTAACAATATGATACAAGTTTGGACCGATAAGAATAAATATTATATAATTAAAGTATTTGGTCAAAACGAAGTTTTTACTACTTAAGAATTCATTCTACTTTGTGACTTGAAAAAAGGCGATTTTTGGAAATTTTTTTTGAGAAAAGTAATGGAGATATATATATATATATATATACTTCATTGTTTTTTCACATGTTATTTGTTATATTTTTCTCTTTAATTTTAAATTTATGAAGAATGTGTTAAGAGCTTCACACATGAAATGCATAACAGAGTATAATATAAGACCGCTAAATCAATGAGCATCTTATGTAAATCAATATGGCGACATTATGCTAGATGCTCATTGATCCAGCAGTCTTGTGTTTATGCTTTAGTCTATATGAAGTTTTGGAAAAGAAGCTTCTCCGACTTGAACATGGCGCCAGAACGGAAGTACTGTATCAGTCATCTGAAAGAATTCAAAAAACGATTTAGAAAGAATGTCTCTGGATAGACTATGATAATTGACTTTAGATAAAAATTAACAAAATGGCGGTTATTTGAAAAAAAGTTTGATTTTTTTACCTTAAATTGTGCTATTATTTTTGCGATAAAAAAAGTATCATTGATATTGATATAATTGTTAGTTTATCTAATAGAAAAAATATATTCTACAGTCGTGGAAAATTTTAAAGCGATATGTTTAATAGTTTTTGCTCTATTCCTTAGATCGAAAAATGTAGTTTCGAGAAAAACGCGTTTAAAGTTTCAAGTTTACTTATTTTTATTATTTACTCCTATATTTGCAACGTTAAGGTTTCAATATATATACACACAATATATACACACTTGGAGCTATCAAATTATACAAAAAAAATTTTGTTCGATTTTTTGACCCCAGCAAGATAAAATAATCCTTAAATATTTCTATGTGAAGTTTATATACATATCTGATTCTGTAAATTGCGCGTCGAAATCTTTGTTGATTTTGAAACGTAATCATGAGAAGAACCAGAGTATAGTAATGTCACTTTTATCAAATTGACAAGCAATTTAATAACTGATACTAATAAGCATCTCTATAAGAATATATTAATAATCAGATATTAATAAGAATTATATCAAATCTACAAGTAATTTTATTTATTGTGAAAGATATTTATCCATTTAAATTATTATTAATCTTAAATATGATATAAATTTTGTGTAAGTGTCCGGATATGTAGATACATGGGACATTTACTTTATCGTATGTTCGCTTCGTCTGCTCTGATATTCCGATGTTTCCAATCGCTCGATATTTGCAACATTCGAGATAGAATTAATCTTGATTGCTTTTTTTCCATCTCGTAAAAAGCCATCTGCGGAAGAGCACATGATTTATTACACGCGCACACGTTGCCAAGTGCGTTTCGCACAGAGGCTTTATCATGGATTATGACGAACGCGTTAAAATCACTGTCGATACACCACGGAATTTTACATGAGATTCTCGTTCTGCTCAAGTGGGCGGCGTTCTGTGAAGAGATAGAACGCGTACTTTCTACGCGTTTCCATGAGAAATCGTATATTTCATTTGATGGCTCATTAAAATTATATACTTTTTTCTCTCGAGTTCGCTTATTACGCGCGCGTATCTTAAGGTGGATTACATTATAGTTTAACGACATTATTTACTCCTACGTGTTTTACGGGCACGTGGGTAAGATCAGCACCCAGGGAACGGCCGATCAAGGCGAGTCTCTACGTGGGTCGAGCGTGAACCACAAATGGTCACGCGACCATTTGCCGTCGCCATATTGCCAAATTGTCTGTGCATCCGCCGGTGTTTCTGCTACTTGACTCATTTATCACGTATTAATATACATGAACTTTCCAAGACGATCAACATCGCACGTTGCCGATGTATTCGTTTCGTTCTTCGGCTTAAAATAAATATTGAAAAAAAAAATTGATTTAAATATAGAATGAACGACGAGATTCTTTCGCTGCCGGAAGAAAAATCTCGAGCGTGAGGAAATAAAATCAACCATAATTCTATAACTTTCCAAGACAATCAACATCGCACGTTGCCGATGTATTCGTTTCGTTCTTCGGCTTAAAATAAATATTGAAAAAAAAAATTGATTTAAATATAGAATGAACGACGAGATTCTTTCGCTGCCGGAAGAAAAATCTCGAGCGTGAGGAAATAAAATCAACCATAATTCAATCGAGCTGCTGCTCGTTTTAACGAAATCTAAGTGACAAATCTTTTGTAAGTGCCTCTCTACGGAACTGCTCGCCGAGTGAAACTTGAGTCCGTGCCAGTTCTCCGGTGCCCCGAAGTTCCAGCACGATTGGATAAAATAATTGGATTGTCGTGAAAAAGGGCCAATGTCAATATAAGTACCTTCGGATTTTCCGGAATATGGCGTGCATGTCTGTGCATTTCGTTACTCGCGATAGAAACGGCTCTTTGATAATCCGACGATTCGCTCTTGAATTAAACTTTAAAATATCTCCGAGAAGAAGCTACAAGATTGATGAAGCGCAATGAATCCGAATTTTTCTCTCCTGTTGGAAATAATACAAGTATGAATCGGACCTTAGTCTTCATTTTCTGCATTGCGATTAGATTTAACTTGATGATGATATAAAAATTGTATTTGTCTAGCTACGGTTAATTATTAAACTAATAAATTTTTTTGTAGCGAGTAACTTTTAAAGTACAAAACTTCAATTTAGTGATTAATCATAGTTAAGAGAACGTAATTTTTACATTATCATCAAGTTAAATGTAGTCCAGTTTTATCTGATTAATTTAACTTATAGTTTAGACTTAATCTCACTTAACTTGACAATAATGTAAAAATTGTGATTTTCTAGCTATGATTATATAATCACAAAACTATAATGATTTTGTAGTGATGACTTTAAAAGTTGTTTACTACAAAAGCATCAGTTTAATAATTAACTACAGATAGGAAAATGTTTACGTTTTCATCAGATTAAGCCTAACCATAACTTAATTAGTAAATAAAAAAGATCTAAATCTAAATCACAAGTTAATCAGAAAATAAAAAACTGAGTCTGAAGATAATAGAAGGACGACGGTCTCGGCAACCGGCGTTGTTTCGGTTACTGTGCTATTGATTTTTGCTGTTTGTTTCGTCGACCCCTACGCACCCTACGATTCCACCCTTCTGAATCATTCACCATTACCTCCGATTGGTGGTGGTGGCTGGCAGCAACCCTCTTTAATAACGACCCGGCGCGGCGGTCTTACGTGCCCTTATTCCGTCACGTTTTGCTAATTTCGATCGAAATGACTCATCTAATTAACGACAGCCGTGGACATTTGCTATTTATTCACAGCTGAAATTTCTCGATTTGACAAGATTTGACGGGTATCTCGCGTTAATACACGATCACGACCAATCACCCCGAATTCTGAATTTCTAGAATGGCAGAAATTCGCGGGAATAAATCAGACTGATGGGTGGTTACCCATGACTGACCACAACGCACGTAGAATATTTAACGATAACGTGAAATTTTCGCTTCAGCGTGCGAAATAGAACGAGCGCACGTTGAGAGGCCAGAAAATTTATTGTCGCCGATACTCGCATTGCGTTTGTTCTCTTCTTTCTTCTTCTTTTTTTTTTGACGTTTTTCTTTTGTATCGCTTACGTTCGCGCGCAAGTTAAGACACCGGATATGCGAGGCGCTTTATGGGTGTGGAGCTTTCGGAACATATCGATCGGTTTGGACTTTATGGCTTCGACGAGGAGGATATACATCCCCATGTGGTCGCCATATACGTCACGCACATCGTCACGGTATACGCACGCATGATATGGTGTTCGTTACATGATCTATCGTTGATTGCTCGCTTCGTTGCCATCGTAGAGTGGCCGATAACGGTTCGGTGACAGAGAGATAAAAATAAATGTAGTCGTGCTTTGGGGAAAGTATTGTTCCGGAATCTTCGTTCGCGCGATAACAACTCGGATTGCACCGAACAGTGGGAGGAAACCTGTGGGCGTAATCGGCTGAAAACGTTGGGCTTATCGTTATCAACCGTGCTGTAGTATACCGTAATCTAAGTTTCCATTTTCTGAGAATTTTAAAAATATATGTAGCTACAAAAGGAATGTTCACTCATAAACAGCGTTGATATCAATCTCTTTTCCGTCTGTTTGACATAAAAGACTCTGCATTAACCATAAGAGAAAGTGATTTCAGTCAAATCGTTTGAAATTGTGATTGTTTTGTAGCTTATGAGATGCTGGTCAAAAATCTTCATAGACACAACCGATAAAAAATGAACAGACATTTTTAAAGCACAATTAACAAAGTACAATTTTATAAAATTCAAATTGTGCTGTAGCATCATTTGAAAGTTACTATTTTGGATCTAATCAGAAAAGGATCTAATCTTTGCAGTGGACAATTCTTTTGACTGTATAAGCATTTTTTTGTATATAATTAAACACATATAATCATATATCTATGCATGATTCAAAATAACAACTTTTAATGTTTCAAAAATGTCTGTTCATTTTTTATGGTTGTGCCTATGGAGATTTTGGATTAGCATCTTATAAAACAAAACTACAAAATATCAATTTGAATCAAAACGTCAATTTGACTGAAACCATTTTTCCTTATGATTAGTGCGATGCTTTATATGAAGGACAAATAAAATCACGTGACGTTATTGATAATTAGAGCATTCTCTTTCTGTGTTACTATCAATCGCGCTGTAGTATGTCATAATTTTCTGAGAATATTAAAAGTACCTCTATCAACAAATGTTCATCTATAAATAGCATTTATATATCAATCATATTTCTTTTCAACATAAATTTATATAAAGGAAGATTAAGATTGTTGATGTTATTGACAATAATTAAATGTCATTAGTTCTATAAATAGATATATTATTTTCATTTCATTCTACAGATTGATTGAGTTTGTATAAATGATTGGCCGAAAAATCCATTCGGTCGCCACGTCTCTTTCATGTATGCGATTGTATCGTAACCATACAAGAGATAAGATAATGATATGCAACTTCGTTTCGCGAAGTATCTATTGTTCACGAGTTTCACGACCATTGCCGTACGATACGCGATACGTTTGGCATTTTTCGGTCGTATGCTTAGCGTTTGGTGTAATCGATGTGTTTTCTAAAAATTGTGTGTTTAAGGAGGGCTCGCCGTTACAGGTACAGACTTTTACATATTTAGCATTTCGAGTACGTTTAGATACGCGCGAGTGAGTGTGAAATGTGAAGTGAAAGCAAAATTGGCAGCCATATTGAAATTTTAATTTTTAGTAAATATATCCATATAATATACTGGAATATGTATTATTGCAAGATTGCTATTCAATTCTGTTTGTAAAGATCGATATAATTATATATAAATGCTTCGTTAATATCACATTGATAATTATGCATAATAAAACGTCACGGATCGAGATATTGAAATTTTCATGTCAAGTTCGCGCAAATTTAGTTGCGATAGAAAGTTTCAGTTCACGTGATTAGCTTCATAATTAGAAGTTATCACAACGCGCGTGTGTTGGCGTTAGCTTCCTACGAAATTATCTATTTGCCATTCTAATTACTAAGAATTAGCATCAATGCGCGTAATTACTCGAAAGTTATAAGTCAACGTTTAAATTTCGTCGAATTCAAGTTGGTCAAGAAATCCGTTGTTAAAAAAAAAAACCGCAAAGAATAGGTCCTCGACGCAACACTGTTAACGGATGTTGCGTATCTTGTGATGTTATCGATGTGCAACAATTCCGGGGCGGAGATCCTCGCGGCGGCGATCGGCGTAAGCGCGCCTTAAGGTACAACTATAAGTGACTACATCGGTGAATGGTACGCTCAGACTAGGTCAGCCCATAACTATCACACTATTATAGACAAGGTCGTTCCTCCTTCCCTTCCATGTGTCCGTTTGTCGAATGCAGTGCGTCGTAATGTTGCATTATTGTATAGTTTATCGCGGTGGCAAAAAAAAACCGAAAAAAGTGAAACAACCCGCCTGGAGGAGTCTTGAGTTTCCGAAAAATCGGCGTCTCATAACTGCACAAATATTACCGTATGAATAGTCGCGACATTAAAACGGTCCATGTCAAAAGATACTGGAATTACTGGAAATACCGGATTATTTTATACGCGAACATTACGCGGACTGATCGAAAAATGATCGGCGACTCCTTGGCACTCTATATCGAAAATCGGTTTTACTTCAAAACAGGGTTCGATTTCGTTATCGGTAAAAAGCTCTGTATTAGACGCATGTAAAGCATTAATAAATCAAACAATTTTTAATTTTTTCAAGAAGCTTTACCTTGGTTAAGAGAATTTGAAGTTTATCTTGAGAATTAACGTTAGTTCAAGAGTTGAAGAGACTCGTAACTTTAATAGTAAAGTAATTATAAATAATTTGATCGAGCTACCGGAGCTACGATACACTTCATAAACGACATTACGCGTATTTAAAGGACTTCCGAGCATAGTAACGAGAGATATTAAACGCCATGGGAATCGCTCTTTATACCCGGGCTCATCGTAACCGCCATTGTGTCGGTAGGAAGTGCATAATATAGCAGAAAGTGAGACAGTCCACTTCCTGAAAAAGCGATAGCGATACTGCTTGTAATTCGCCGAGAACAATAGTCGCGGCAAATCGCGGGTCGGAAGATCTTACGGCTTTTTCGTCGTGTTACGCGTACACGCGCACATTTCCCGTGTTCAGTTTTTTCAAAGAAAAACAGTCCTACGGTTTATCTCGCCAGTTACGTCGAGCATGTTTGCGTGGATAGACATGAATAATCTGTCTGTTAATGCTGATTTGTAAGCGCGCTGCATCTGAATATGTTCATGGTCCACGAGTTAAGTGGACCACGTAAAAAAAGTGAGGTGTAGCAGTACAAAACGCACTTGAGAAAATCTTGTTATCCTTATAAGATTTTTCTCGATATTTGTGCTGAAGCGTCAGCGTGGATTAATTTCGTATTCACATAACTGTATTTTTCATTATCATACACTTTAATTACTTAATTAATAAATAGAAATTGATGTGTGTAAGAATAAATTAATTAAAATACATAATTCTATTTTTGGTCGCGAATTTTGGTGTTCGATAATATATATTTATACAAATTTTTGCAAATATATTTTTCAGTTTTATAAATTGCGCGAAATTCAGTTTATCGAACTTGAAACGCAATCGCAAAAAGCTGAAACTAAAATATTAATATCTCATTAGATAATTGATCATAAATTCAACAATGGTATCATAAGCATTTTAAAAACTTGCAACTTATTGTATTATAATCAAAAAGTTATAATTTTTGATTGAAGAATGATTGGAAGCCTAGAAATCCAACTCGCATAATTTAACAGATTATTAACAAAAACAATCTTAGTGGACCATACATTTGAAAACTCAATAATAAGAAATTGATTCCCGGTCGAGATAATATTTTTCGCCATAAATTTATTTAGTTTTTCAGCATATTAATATCTTTTTAATAAGGTGTCTGATTGAGCTCAAATTATTAAAATTGCTTATCAATTTAATTCGTGATATTACTAAAACTACTGTAGTAGTAATACGTTTATAAGTCCGAAAAAAATCAATTCCAGCGTGCAATTCGAATGACTACAAATATACGTATGTATATAGTATGTATATAATACGTATATATATATAGTAATTCAGATTGAATTATTTAAGCACTAAAGATCTAGCTTTATGGCTATTACTTCTATTTCTTATTGTTGAGTTAATAGATTATTATTAATATTATTATTATTATTATTATTTAATTACTTCGCGGAGCAACGATGCGCGTACAACAACAGTGAGTGGTCTATTTCAATATCAAAAGAGAAAATACTGAGCGGGTCGGCTGGAAAGAGCTAAAAGCGTCGTTGACTTGGGGCCAGCTTTGAGAATATTTTCACATCAGACAGAAGTATGCGAAGGCGACGAGCACCACTTTCCGTGGTTCGATGCTTCAAGAATAATTATATGTTTAACATAATTAATGTTGACATTTTCATGGTGTACACGGAAAATAAGAAAATTGGAAGTCCTCATCCGTTTATAACTTTGATAACACTCTTACACGTCGTAAATAGGCGGTATATTAGAAGAAAGTTGATAATTCACTTCATTCGATCTTGTGTTTAATGGGAAAAATAATAAAAATTGCGCGGTTTAACATCCTGGATGTGGTTAGTTGAGCGGCGAATAAAATCAATAAACAAAAAAGTCGGAAGAAATTTGTGCTATCATAACTTTCACCTACTCGAACGGGTTTGTGTGATTCGTGATGCTTCATCAAGTCATAAGGCGATAATATAGTATTAGATTTTTTTTCCATCTTTGAATAGGGCCATAATGTAATATTTGATTTTTCACCTTCGGTAGAAAAACTCTAATAGTACATTATCATTCAGTCACTTCATGAATCGTTATAATCCCTTTCTCTTAGCCAGTCTAATTTAAGATTATACATATAAGTCTGTAAGAAAAATTTAATTTTCTAATCAACAAACACACGTTTTTCAAGTATCTCCTATATAAACATTTATATTTGATAATTTAGCAGATTTCAATTATTTAAATTTCATAATTCTATGTATCTTGCATTCTTATGGAAAAATATTTTTTGAAAAATTCGCATTTTTACTGAAGTTAAAAATGGATCCAAGAAACTCAGTGTGTGGTCTATGTACACAAAAATATAGGGTTAAGGCCCGCTTGTACCAACATTGATTTTAAACGAGGCTTAAAACTCTCTTTGACTCCATTTCTTTTTCGGCTTTAAAACGAGATAGATAGATAGATAGATAGATAGATAGATAGAGAGGAGAGAGAGAGAGAGAGAGAGAGAGAGAGAGAGAGAGAGTAAGTGAGTGAGTGAGTTTTAAAATCAAAGTAACGTTGGTGCAACCGGGCCTTAATCTCGTCTGCCTTTGGGCCGATAAATTTCTTCGCTACTGTGGACGAGCTAGTTGCTTTAGATGAATGATGTATTTCTGCTTCCAGTCGACTTCGTACATACCAGTAGTCGACCTCGATTTCCATCCATCTACACCGGTACTTGAACTTCCTACGTTTATTTGATCGCGCACTGCAAAGGAAATTGATTATCAACACTATGGGGGCTGCGAATGAATATCAAAACCGTTTTCGCGATTTGATTAATAACGCCTTATTTCCACAGTTTGTACGGACTCTGTGCGCGAGCAAAGATTGAATGCAACGGAATATTACCTTAAGCGTAGATAACCTGTGGCACATGAATCACGAGTACATGACAGATTACTTTTATAAACGAATCATTACGATTAGTTGTTTATTTCCTACCTGGACCTTGGACAACCTATGAAACTTTCGAGCCTTCAAACGTCGCCGTTCTTGTTATAAAAATAAAGAGTAAAAAATAAATTTGAGATATTTGCGAATGCATTAAAACATAAAGTTACAACGTACGATGTTTACGCTCATCACGATCATGAAGTCGCAGACGAAAACTGATTCTCGCTGGACCGGTTAAGTGCTTGTATTAAGTGCCTGTTCCGAGAGTCCACGGCGGTGCGAGATCGACAGTGAGGAAGAGGATTACTTCGGTGAGAGTAGTTTCCTGTGCCATAGTCCTAAATACTGATTTCGTGCGGCAAGTTCACTGGCAGAGAGCAACCCGCAAATTTACGATCATTAAATCCGACTCCTTATCTCAACGCATCTTAATTTATGGCAATGACTTGTTTGCTATAATTTAATGTGTCATTCAATTAATATCTACCTCCATTGTTGTGTCCAAATTGCGATATATGTTTGGATTATTCACATTCCGCAGTATCTTCGATAACAATGTACCGAAGACTTGCGGGAATTAAAAGACGAAGGAAAAATTATTTCGAGAGATTTGGATTAGAATGTGATGTATACGAGAGAAGCAGTGAGATCGAACAAAGAAAATTGTAACAATTATATTAAAATAATTCATTAAATTGATTTTAATTAATTTTATATTAAAATTAAATAAACAACTTTTATTAAAATTGTATTATAATAATTATATTATTTAGTATAATTAACTTGATTACAATTAATTATATGTAATTGCTAAGGTGTTAAATGATTTATTTTAATTACAATAGTACACTTTAATAAATAAAACGTGCTAAACCCTGCGGGATTTCAATGAACCATCTTATGTATTCCCAGGTTTTTTGTTCACGCTTCTTCATAATAATAATGGATGCACCGCATCGCGTCGGTGTGCATTTAATCCTCTCGTTACCGTTTCAACGCGGTGCATCTTAACATTTCGAGCAAGTTACCCGAGCATAAATGCAATTCAGACACGACTATATCCTGCTGGTCGCGCTGGTAACCGACGAGCGTGTGCTCTTGGCATGTTGAAGACACTCCGCTTTAAAGCGAAAGTCGAACGCGATCTCTTTCGTTCCCGGCCTCTCCTTACCTTCGACCTTCCTCGATTCTTCTTCATATGCATGCTGACTCGTCTGCTGTCTTTGCTTCTTCATTTTCCGGAATATCTCTGATATTGTCTCTCTTTTCTATCTCCCTCTTTTTCTCTCTCTCTTTCTCTCCCCTTCTTGTGTAATGACAGACCGTCTCCGCCTGGTACGAGCTAATCGATACTCGTTATATAAAGCGACAACCGCGCGACACTGTGTCAAGAATTATTCGCTTCGGAAGCAGACAGCAATAAGTCCAAATCATAGGAGGGGACAAGAAGAGCAAGTCCTATATATCATTTTTGGGATTTAAAAAGAAAGGAAGTGCTAATTTATATAATACTAAAAACAATCGTAATTGTTTGCATTCTAATGAATAATATTATTCATGAATTTATATTTTAAATTATTATGAATTTATATTTTAATAAAAAATATATATTTTATGCTACAATTATATATGTACAATTTTTTCGTTTTCAAAACAGTAGAAAGTTAAAAATTAAAATTTAAAAAATTGAAAAATTTTCAGAGAATGAATTTTTGGATTTTTTATATTCTTTTGTTTTGCAAACGTGAAAAGTGTTCGTCCTGTGCGAAATCGAGTATATCTTGAAACGTGACATAAACCACTTTTCGCACTTAACAAAACGTTCCTTAATGTTTTAACATAAGCAACGTGCGTTGGAGCGGCTGTTTATGATACATCGATGAAGAAATGATGATTGTACGTTTCTTTTAATCACACGAAAGAGAGCTCGATTGAAGATTATATTGAGGCAAAGTTTCACTAAATTTTTTATTGCTGATTTCGTAATAGTCTTAATATCATCATAATTTCATAAGAAATATAACATCGTATGATATGATGAAATTTTTATTGTATTACATTCAGTAGTTATATAAAAAAATATTGAACTAATGAATAAAATAAAAAGTTATAAAAAACAATGACTAAAGTTTAGATAAATATAGTTGATGATCGCAAATCATAATAAGAAATGTAAGATTTCCTTATATCGTTATGAAATTCTTATTTTGTGTTAAATTTATAAAAATCTTTGCAGTGATAGATAAAATCACTATTGATATCGAGTGTCAATATTTTCTTGTTTACATAAATGGTTTACACGGATGCGATATGTTATAAAAAGAAATTAATTTGTTCTATGACATAAATTTTTTGTAACATCGTAAATATTTGCGCAAATATTTATTACAAAAAATCGATAAATATCTGCTGGTTTTATCACTTCTGCTAAAAATAACGTCATGCAGTTTTATACGTATAATTTACATCTAAAACCGCTATCCGAAATGTATTTTATCTTCCAGCATTTTTTAATGAACAAAAATTCTGCGGTATAAATTACACGGAAGTGAAAAGTCGGTTATCGGTATTTTCGTTCAATAACATCTCGTCATGATATCTACGTCGAATAATTATGGGAGAATGAACAACGTCGTACGAGTGTTACAGTGAAACTCTGATATCTGTCTGGATCGAGCAGGCAAAATAGCGAATTCCGGTTGCGAGATAATTTATAATTTCCGTTGCTTATATCGAAGGCATTTTTATTTATTGCGTAATTAAAGGAGCACGAAAGAGTTGTTTTTTCCTCTTTCGAACTATGTTTCCCTCGTTACACACGTGCGATGGAACCAATCAGTGACAATAGTCAAATCGCAATTGAATAGCATCGAAACGCGATCGCGAATCGAAGCGTAACGTTAGTAACAATGAGTGAAAGTTTCTCGGTTGGCCATCTCGACGAGAAAGCTAATGAGAAAACGTCGCTGTGTTTTGCAAGTCGAAATATCGGGTCGCGTGATAGGAATAAAATCTATCGAAAGCTGTAATTCGATTTGCAACGATACTAATCAAAATAAAATTGAACTCGAGGTAATAAGTTTCAGAAGTAACGATCCGGTTAATGTAAAAAATATATCTCAGAGACATGTATTTTTCTTTCTGCGAAGAGAAAGAGTAGATAAAAGTAGATTTTATCTACACCAGTAGATAAAAAGATAACTATTTGCAGTTTACATCTTTTTTGGTACGAGCCAAATTTCATTCTCAAATTTTTCCGAAATAAACGCTGGAATCCGGTTCCCTTGTTAAGAGAGAATGACTTTTTAAATAAATTTCTATTTTTTCCTCATTTTTTGCTCAAACTTTAATTTTTATTAAATGAAAGTTTTGATATTTAAAAAATCTGAATTGCAGAGACAAAGGGAGTAAAAATACGATTGCAGACGGAGGATTAAATCGCTAATTACAAATTACGACATCTAATCCCGGTGTACGCGTCCCAGGTTCCGTTCGTCGCCAGATTTCGTCGTGCAAGAATTTCATCCATCGGTTTCGTGGTCAAACAAAATCGCAAACGACACGCGGAACGCACATCGTCTGGGTTTCTAGTCGTGATCGTCCGCGAGGAACGAACCCATCGCCGCCGCCGTCGTCGTCGTCGTCGTCACGTCACGTCACGTTGTGTCTATCAGCAACGGAGGCCGAGCGCGAGGTGGGGTATCACCACTCGACGGTTTCGACGTGAACATCCAGCCCGCCGTCGACTGGCTGGCTGGCTCAGTCAAGCTGAAACCGCGAAGGATCGCGATAGAGCGAAGCGAGCGAGCGAGCGAGCGAGCGGACGCGTGCCTCTCGCAAACGTTTCACCGTTTCTCCGCTCGTTCGCCATCGATCGTAGGAGGAAAAGATTTTGTATTCTTACGTCCGTGGTGATTTATCAAATCGACCGTGATACTCGAAGACGACGTGCAGTGACAAGTGAGCGACTCCCTGATCCTCCCTCGCGATAACGCGCGTAATGGAGATACGGGAAATGCGTTTTTGCGGGTGATACGATAAGACGTGCGCGATACATGATTCGCAGCGACGAGGCGGAACAACAACGGAGCGAATCTTTGTAATTCCTACCACGATGCTCCCGTCGCAGTCTCTACGACTAACCAGGCGGAACTTGCTTACGGGATATGATGTCAGTGAAATAAATGAAAGACGTGTATGCCGTGTGTAGCCGTGTGCGCCTTATCGGCAGTTACCGTATCGGTGCGCCTTAAAAAGCACGCTGAATCATCGCGCGGTAAAATTGACGGTGTGCCGCGGTGCGTCGTTTATGCGATTGGCATAAACCCCTCTTACGAGGCAAGGTGTTGTGGAAAGTTACACAATAGAATACAATAACGACGAGGAGGAAAAAAAATTAGCTGTCCACGCTGCGGCGGCAAGAGCCGGTCTTCAGTTGCGAAAGTCGCGCACTGACCGTGATCTCGGTATTTAAAGAAGGTCATCGAATCAATGAGACAAAGATCAAAGGATCGAGAGGCATCTATTAAGTCGCTCTGCTCTCTTCCTCGCGTTATACATGCGGAAAATCACGACGATGGAGGGGAGCAAAGCAGCGCGAGTTACTTGTCTCTCAGTCGGTCGCTACGGCTTTCACGACGGTATTTACACTCGACTGCATTCTGAAAATCGCACGCTGTCGACTACGCGACGATGAAAAAGAGGAAAGAGTTTCGTTTAAAACGTCGATTAAGAACACTAGATAAGAATGCTAAGGCCGTGAGAACAATATAAACGGGAAAAGAATTTCATGCTCATTTCATATAATCTTCTGTTGTTAAGGAATAATCACGAATAATGATAAGGACGTCAAAGTTATATAAGAGAACGGACGAAAGAGAATATCCGTAGCTTATTATATATCCTTTCATTCTTAGAATTTTCACAAGATTCAAATATAAGATAGATTTTTCTTATATATATATATTTTTTTTTTTTCTAAATAAATATTTTCTCAATATATATGTATATATGTTGAAAAAATATTTATTTTAGATTGAGTCTAAATATTGATCTAAAATTAATATCTTCTCAATAACATTATAAACTAAAATAAATGTTTAAAAAATGTGTTTTGTATACAGAATATAAAGATTTATTGTATAATAATATGAAAAAACAGAAGAAATCAGGATACATTTCTTTAAGAATGTAATTAAAAATTTTTTGTATACCAGTACGTTAAATTAAAACTGCAAGAAGAAAATAAAATCAAAAAGAGAAATTAAGAGAAAATAAAATGTTCCAGGAGCTTAACTTTAAATAAGTATGTTAAGAATCTCAGACAATTCATTATGTATTATACATGTTAAAAATATCAGATTCTGTTAATGAAATGAGGAATAATGAGGCACAAATATCACATCATCTATAAAAGGTGTAGAAGTTATTTTTTTGATTGGCAAATAAAATACGGGATAAAAAGTGAAAATATTAAAACAACAATCTCTTAAAAATTTACCTACTCGATATATCTATATATTTATAAATTCTTATTGAATGGCTACTTTAATTTATATAATATTTCTCCGTCAAAATAAAGCAATCGCTATCGATTTATATAAATATCTCGTCTTATAATATCTCCGGATTCTCTGTCCTTGAAAAATACGAGCTACTCTTCATTGGGCAGTTTCAGTTTTTAAAGTAAAATTGCAAATTTGCGGATACGTGGCAGGCGAGACGAAAGCGTCAGTAAAATCAAGAAGCTATCGACAAAACCTTCGTCGCGGCGGCCACGTACATTATTACACAGACCGTCAATATAACGTTACGATAATGATACCTATTAAATTCACGCCGTGTGCGTCATGAAACGGCGCCTGTCGCCGACGTCGCACGCTCCGTTTCGGCATTGAAAGCAATTTGGGCAGTAAACCATTTGGGTGCGTGCGCGAGTGTGCAACACGCGTGCATGTACGTGACGTTTCTCGGCGGTTGCCCGTTTAAATCAATCGCGAGTACATCGACATGCATACACGACGTGCCGTCAGACAACAGCGCGTTAATGGAAAAGTGTCCGCGCGTTTCATTATTGACTAGTATAATGCGTGGGAGAAATAATGCAGAAATAGATTCGATTCAGCTTGGCGATTGAAGATCTTGACATAATAAATAGCGCGTGCTATAATTGGGCTTTCACGTATCTGCACTCTCAAAAATAACGGTGCCTGTATATAATTCTCGCTGTCTTGGTATTTATATTAACATCAGTATGATGTGGATTTAACACCATGGGTTTTAAATCTACATCACGATGGTGTTGATATAAACATCAGAGATTTGAAATCCACACCATGTTGGCGTTAATAAATATTAACACCAACACAGTGAGAATTAGGTATATATAGATATGGATGTTAAATCTACATCTATTTTTTTAGAGTAATTTAGAGTTACATTTAATTCGATTGTGCTAAATTGAGCAGTTTAAATTTTTCTCAAGGTAATTGCTTAATTAATTTTTTTTATGTATTAAAAGACAGTATTTTTTGTTTCTTGAAGAAATTGTGCTGGATTTCCTTATGATTATCCCAATAAAGTGATTGTAGAGAAAATGAGGAAATCAGTACGCAATTGTGTCGAAAGTGTCGAACGATTTGTAATGGCGAACACGTCGTTTCATCGGATATACGATTGTCTGCGCATTGAGTGATAATGGGACGTTAATGATGATCATAAATGGAGAATAACATCATTAAATTTTGCATTAAATATTTTTTACTATTATCATTATTTCACATAGCGTTGTTATAAAAATATATTATCGGATTGATACGCCGTAGTGTCACTTTGGTGATCATAATTCGAGAATTATTCATCTATAATGCAGAGCTTCCTTCGTTCTAACGTCGCCGTAAGCAAAACGATTGTCCGACTAATCACTGATAGGCAATACATCGCGTGCGCGTAGAGATACACGGACTTAAAATGATATCGGTTTCAAAGCTCCGGATACATTCAACATTGGCATGTATATCATCGGGAGGAACTGCTAGCGCGCGACGTACGAACGCGATAACTATGTTAACAGCATCTCTTGTGCACACGCATCGAGCACGTGGGGTTCAGGTACGTAGTGCGAATAGTATTGCCGGTACCGTTAATACCATTCGCGATATCTAGTCGCTCAAGAGAGTGCACACGAGCACGCGGAATCGCCGCATGTGTGGGAGCGCGAGTGACGCCATTTTTCCCGACCATCCCGTATACCCCTGCCTCTCTCTTTTTCGCGTGAGAACAAAACTCGGATACACAATGATATCGGGATAATCGAGCCTGGCGCGCTTTCGGCCACACCGTCCTACGCAAGCGAGTTTGCTAACTGTGCTCGAAAAATGCAGGAAACTCCTGTAGAAGCCAGAAGAAGCCTGATGTATACCCGCCTTTCATGGAATCTTACACTTTCAACTACAAATCGCTTTTTTCTCGCTTTTTTCGTTTTTGCTTCTCTCGTTTTTATTGAACAGGTCTCGACGGAAATTTAAATATATATCGTTTTTATTCTACATAGAGAAAATGCAATCAAAACGAATAAATATATTTGAATAATTAAAGAATTAAATATTTGTAATCCTTCGGAGCTGATGGATCTGTTGAAGCCAGTCAGTTATAAATCTCTTTAAAAAATTGTAAAAAATATCAAATAATTCAATTTTTTTTTATGTTACCTGCAAATTAATCATGTATTTTGATTAAAATATGTTCAGTATTTATTCTTTTTTATACGAGTTATTTTGATTTCCTTGAAATTAGACCTGGTTTATTAATGGAACCATGTTAAAATTTTTTTTTAATTTAAGAGCACTTTTAACTCAAGCCAACCATTCATGGGTTCAACGGACCCTATGCGATTTTTTACATTGCTGTAACTTTTTTATAATATAATTTGAAAACTCGGATTAAATTTAAACATTTTACAATTTTTTTTCAAAGTAGTAATTTTTTGCGAATTTTTCCAATAAAATTTTTTTGAAGCATTGTGATTAATTGAAAATATTAGGTGTTGGAATTAATTCGTAGCGTTTTTAAATGAAAGAATGTTATTTATTTCACATGAGCATTAAAAAATACATTAATGAAAGTACTTCCCATCACTTGTAAAACGCTACGAATTAATTCCAACACCTAATAAAATATTTATTTAGTTGATTCGTATTTATCTGTCTTTGTCTGACTTGAGATATAAATTTCACACGTTTTGAGCTAAAAAATACGGATTCAGCAGAGATATGACAGAGAGATGACAAAGTTATAAGGTTTCACAAGTCTCGATGTGACCGGGAAGGTAACCAAAAATAACAATGACTTATTAGGATTAATAATTAATAAATTAAAAGATAAATTAAAATTTTTAGGTAATTTATATTAAAAAACTTAATAATTTTTTAAAATAATTTTTTTTTCAAAATTTTAACTATTTTTTCAACATGTAGGTAAATCTGATATCAGATAAAATTAAATAATTTTGGATAATATCTTACGTCTAAAATTTTACGTCGTACGTATGTATATATATATATATATATATATATATACATATACACAGAACAAAGAAGTTAATTAGTGACTCTTAAGTAACATAAACTAAATAGGTTTTATAGACCCAGCATCAGTAAAATCATATCTGTTTACGAATTTCGATGTCAACTTCGAAGGATTAAATATGTCGAAATACATAACTAGCGCATCTCGTTAGTTCACTTATTCATATAAGCAATCTTGTTTCCTGATCTTAATATTGTTAGTACATAGTACATTATTATTGTAACAAACATTCCGGAATTGTTCGACACTTAACTTACATTATTAAGTTACGAGGTAAAAAAAAAAAAGTTCGACGAATCGCAAATCTTCTCATAATTCACAATACAATATAACAATAGTCTTCAGCATTCTTCAATCGTGAGGAAAAGTTTTTTTCAGAAATCGATAGCCCGTTTACTGTCCGTTTTATTATTCACTCGAACGTCTTAACACATTTTCCCAAAGGTATCCGATCCACACAGTTTCCTCTGGATTTCGAAGATAAATTTAGGTACGTTCTTTCGACGATACCAAATGAAAAGTGTGCAACCATGTTTCCTACCTTACATTTTACGGACCGTTATCCAGAACTGGACATTTTCGCCCGCGTTTAGTCAACCGAGAATTCGCAGGCGCGCACACATATGTGTGTATGCGAAAATAAAATTCGACTATACATTCGCGTACGAAGGGACACGAGGAAAAGCTTTCCCGGCGAGTATACGTTCGAAAATTGAGAGAGAAATTCTCGTTGATTGACATGCCACATGGTGTAAAATTTTCATTCAATTTTAGAAGAGTATCTACTAAAAGTACTTCAGCACAAAAGTATATTGCACAGTAACGCTTCTATTAAAAATTTAATATACGTTAAAAATTTTGAGGTGAGATCAGCTTTATCTTATGTCACAAAAACTATTTCTTGATAATATCTTCGAGTGCGAATAACTTGAATTTAAAAATTACGAAGAAGACTATCAAGGAAAAGTTTTTGACATGAGGTAAAGCCTGGTCTCGTCTCAAACTCTTTAACTTATATTCAATTTTTAATAAGAATATTATTTAAAAAAAGTTT